GGCGTCATACCGGATTGTTGCGACAGGCTTTGCAATTTTACTTTCTCCGCTGCGGTCATGCGGACATACACCATAAGCGTGCGCTTATCGCTGTCGTCCTTTTCAGGTCGTGCCATGTGTTCCGTTTTATACAGTTGCGGTGGATGCGGTGGTGCCGGGTCTTTGGGTTTTTACACCTTCGGGGTCAAGGGGGCGCTTTAGCCCCTTTGCAAGACGGTTTGTCTGTGGCGGAAACTTTAGTTTTTGTCCTGACAAACCACGTCTTGCAACCCAAAGAAACTATAGACCCAAACACACAAAAAGTCAACACCACACACTACAAAAACATCATCAATTCAACCACATACCATACACCGCCATTCCGTCCGCAGCCATTCAATCCATCGCCAAAAAGAAGAAAAATAATTATCCGCACCAACGGTGCCGATCACGGGAAATATTTTAAAAATTAAATTGCATACAATGGTCTCCTGGTTATTTTGGTCCTGAATAGTTACAGGTTAATGACCCTAAAGAATTTGATGTGACATAGGTCAATGATAAATTATTGCCATTTAGCGTACCTGATACCGTTTCGGTGTAATAATTGTTACAAGCGTCGATTAAAGTAACCGTAGTTTGTATAATTGTATTACCACTTACATTGGCAGGGATGGTGAATTGCTTTTGACAAGGTGTTCCATTATTAATTACGATTGGTAAAATGATTGAATTATTGCCATTAGCAACAATTGTTACCGGATATGTTCCAGTCCAACAATTAGAAATCATGTTGTATGTACCTACAAAAGCAGGGGCATCATCTTTTGAATTATTGTCTGATTTGGAACAGGAAGCAAAAAAGATTGCAATTGGCATCGCAAAAAAAAGAAAACGTTTTTTAGTCATGTGATATAAATTAAGGTGCTTGTTTTGCTTGTGATAATTAAACAATTGCATATTGTTTTACATGCAAAATAATAACGAGGCAATAGAAAAAAATGGTATTTATCACATACCGCTTGGTGATTAACCACATATCATCTGCTGCTATTTTCTTTCGTAACAAATCAATTTGTTTCCCAAAAGGCAAAAAATAATCATCTGCCTCAACAGTGCCAGTCACGGAAAAACATGTGAATATTCACGTTAAGCGAGAAAATATTATAAGGTACTGTTGCAGTACAAAAACTTATAAATTATGGCTATTGCAAAAAAATGGAGTGCCGAAGCAATTAGAGGTATTGCAGGGCGTGAACTTATCGTCAGAGGCGAAGCTAACGTCGGCAGGCTCGAAGTCATGCCAGAACTTAAAGAGATCGTTCCGCAAGGGAGCAATCCAACCATACTTTTGTTGGAGCTGTTGAATGCTGGTGACGCTACACCTGCAAAATTCCAGCCTGTTCAATTGAACAAAGAGCTTATTGAGATCAACCAGTACAGGTTAGTTCAGGTATTTCACAAAGATGAATTGATTGCTTTATTTGAAGTGGAAATAATTGAGTAGGCAGGTGATTTTATTGAAGCCATCCGGATGTCAGTTTTTCGGATGGCTTTGCTTATTTAGCAGTCGTTGCCGATCACGGAAAAACATGTGAAAAATCACCTTGCATCGGAGCAATCGCTTGCGTTTT